GGCACGGGGGTTGGGGGGGGAGAGGGGGGAAGCCAGATTCTAGATACTTCAAAAGTCAAATAGAAGAAATTCAAGCAATAAAAATCTTGTAATACCTTTTATTATAAATCACACACACCATCTATTTTTACAAAATTCCATCTATTCTTCCATTTCAATGCATATGCATAAAGAAATGTCTGGCATAACATTCACCAAATATGAACACTAGCTATTTCTGAGGGGTAGAATTGTGATGTTTTTGCTTGAATATTTTAATAATATCATTTGTATAAATTCATCATTTAAAATGAACTGAAAATAGGAATTAATGGAGGGGATATATAAGGGTATAGTATGGGAGGCTGTTTCCTAAGGAACATTAATAGGTAAGAGTCAAGGGAGCAGGAAGAGAGAACAGAGAGAAAGGTGCAAACATCTCAGCAACCTCCCTCCATGTCCCACCACACCCTTGGGGCTAAAAGTCCTGGTAAAAGAAAGGGGGCAAGTCTGGGACACAGGCCGCCAGGTGGGGGACACAGGCCACAGGGTTGACACTGCAGAGCCCAGCATCCTGGTCCTTCTCAAAGTAGACGCTGCCAGGGGAGAAGATGGAAGGATCCTCATCAAAGAAGTTATAGGGTCGGAGCAAGAAGCCAACTCTGTTCCCCAGAGTCACAGTGTTGGGGACATCCTCAGCATGGGGGATATGCAGGAAGCTGGCTGTAACCCAAGCCACCAGGTCCTGCAGGAAGAGGAAGAGGCTGAAAGACTTTGGAGGCAAGACCCAGAGAACCACCCCCCTCAGCCACGATGCCCAGCCCCTAGCCTCAGCCTTGCTTCCACCTCTGCCCAGCCCTGGACCCATACTGTAGGCGGGGTGATCCTGTGAGAAGCGTTGGAGTGGTCAGGGTCTCAGAGCTAATCTCACCCCAAGAGGAATGACCCTTGTTGGCCCCTGAATCTGAGAACTGGAAACCTACCATGCCCTCCAACCTACGGTCAGGGACTGGGCAGCCAAGACATTGGGCATAAATTGACCCTCTCCTCTGCCTCTGGGGCTACCAACCTCTCCTAAGAGGGTCTCATTGTTGATGAAGTCAGCAAAGGCCATGGTGGGTGTCCAGATGTCATTCTGGTAATAGATGCTGCTGCTCTGTGATTCCTCCTCCTTCCTCCGGGTCACCACGAGCTGGTATCTGACCAGGAATGTCGAAGGAAGGTGGTGTCAGAAAATGTCAGGGTCCGTTACTGGCCTAGAAGTCTTTTGGATCAGATTCTGTGTGAGACCACTCCCCATTCCATATCTACTTGGATCTTAGAGGTAGGGGGGTGAATGGTAAGCTAAGGGTAGTGAGTTGGGGTCTCCAAGAGCTGGGATGGGGAAGCGGACCAGTCCTTCCCTACCACCCAGTGCCCAGAGCCCTCCTCACCTCCCCCAGCTGAGGGCCCTCTCCATGTCGCTCTCCAGGGGCATGTGAATGCCGAGGGGGCTGTGGATCTGGATTCGGTACCCGCGCTGGTGACCCCAGACATTAGTCTGGTCGCTAGCCAGATAAAGGTAGCGGGGAAGGGGGTTTCCCAAGGAAAAAGCTGTCAGGTCCTCCCTTCCCAGGACCTGCCGAGTCAGCTGTGGGCGCTGCAGTTGGTGCTCTGGACTCCAAGGGGCTGCCACAGGTTTAAACACCACGTCTTCAGCTACCACCCAGTTTTTCAGCCCTGCCAGGGGGAGGAGGGGGGAAAGGAGGTCCACACCAGGTGAGACGGTCCCTTGGTTCCCCCACGATGCCCACTGCACTGGCCTGACAAGGGGCAGCAGAGCTCATCAGAGAGCACTCTGTGCTGGGACCCAGGTCTGGATTCGAGTGCTGGCCCATCTTCTTTGAACCTGCCCTGTTCAGTATGGTTAAGATCAGAAATGGCTAGACCCATTTAAGTTAAAAATGCAGTTCCTCACTCACACTAGCCACATTTTGAGTGCTCAGTTGCCACGTGATTAGTAGTTAACGTATCCGACAACATAGATGGAGAATATCCATCACTGCAGAAAGTTCTATTAGCAACTGGTCTACCTAGTAGATCTTGGACCAATGCTTGGCTCTTCTGATTCTTTCTGAATCTCTACAGCGGGCATAGTAAGAGCTGTTCTGTAGCTGAGCTCTGTAAGTGGAAAAGAATATGCAAGTGGCTAGTTACATTCTTGTTAACTATGAAAGAGAGATTTGTCTTGGAGAAGCTGGCTGGAAACACCCAATCCCCTTCCCAGGGTGCTCTGCATATTTCTCCCAGCTCTGGTATTTTGCTTCCTTTCTCCACAAGGTGGGGACCACTTTGGTTTTTCTTTTTCAGAAGTGAGTAGATTTAGATTTTATATTGGCTGAAACCTCCCCGGGATTCGATTGCACTCATAATGTACACTCCTCTTCCCACTTGGCACATGCGTATACTCTTTCTGCAGGCTCAGGCTGTCCGTTCCTTTAAACAGGACCTATTGTGAAGGCACCTGGCATGGTGCACAGAGCGCTGCACCGAGCCCAGTGCCTCTGCAGGCTGTCCGTACTCAGGCGCCTGGGCTGCGCACTATAGGGACCCCTAGACAGGCTCTTTAATACCAGAAACGCTCAAGAGAAACTTCACATCAGAAAAGTCCTGTTCCAAATACGCCAAAGAATAGTTAATTAATATGCTCATTTCAAACACGGAATGTTCTTAGTTTTCCTCCCACCCCAAATCATGTCTTTATAATCAAGAGGATAAGAAAATGTGTCACAAGATGTGTAGTTACAGAGCATTATACTTGGCCAGTCCCTTCTTGTCCTATCTCCCCCCACCCTCCTTAGGCCAAAGGGCCGGAGACTTCTGTTTTCCTTTCTGGGTCTCCTAGTCTTTATTAAGTTAGTTATTTTGTTCTTGATAAAAATCTGCCAGGAACAGTAAGTCCTCTCTGTGCTTTGAGCCCCACTTGAGAAATCCCTTTCTACACTTGCAGCACGACTTACATGCCTGCTGTGTCACTGGAGGGCTGGTTATGACATGTGCTGGCAGAGACGAGATGACCCTCCCCAGGAGGATGGTGGGGCCACTGTACTCTGTCTAGTTTTACGAAATCCTGTGAGGCAACCCCCAACTAGTGTCCCCACCCTTCTTATGCCCCAGGACCACCTCTACTCTGAAAACCTTGTTAGACTGCTTCCTTTTCCTGCTTTCCCCATAACCACTGACCCTCAGAATCCGTTAGGAAAATCTCAGAGCCCCAACTCCAGCCCCAAATGACGGGGCAAATTCACTACCAGCGGAGTCACTTGAGACTAAGGCAGCCAGGCACAGCCATCGCATTTAAACTAGTTTCACAATCGCTAGTTTCACAGCAAGTCAGGGGAGCCGGGTGAGGGCATCCCTCCTCTTGTGCCAGGTCAGCCCGGTGTTTCGGGCTGACCACAGTTGAATACACACCAGTCCCTCTCTGTTGCCACAATATATCGTGGTGCTAGCATGCTACTCTCTGCTTGTGGCTTGATTTGGGGGTCTCCCTTCCCTCTCCTCCACCCCAACTCTCAATCCTCACCCAAGCACTCACCTGCCACGTCCAGGTCCAGCTTGAAGTGGAAGGCATGCGTGTGCACCGCCCCCAGCACTCGTTCCCCCACGCGGTTCCCAAAGAGGAGGCTCTCCTCACCCCCACTCAGGAAAGCCGTGTTGATATAGCCTGTGGCATGGACCCGCCCTTCCAGAGCCCCATTTGGGTGCAATACAAAGTCCCAAATGTAGTCATAGTTGCCTACGGATGACACAGACCTGACTACAAGGGCCGAGCCAGCCAAACCACCATAGAAATAACTCTCAAGGTGATTGTGGTGCCTCCGAAGGGGTAGTCCTTGGGCCTCCTCAAACACGCATACAGCACCCGGGAGCAGCTGGACTGCCCCAGTGCCCACTAATATGTGGATGTCCACCATCGTAGATTGATAGGGGCAGTCCACTCCCCGAACCAAGCCCCGGCTGTGACGGCCAAGTCCATAGCTGCTATCCAAGTATCGGGTCATCATTGTCTTGGGTGAATCGGCACCATAGACAGACACACACTCCTGGACACTGACTTCGTAGGCCACTCGCTCGCCTTTGAACCGAATATCAAAAATCCTCATGCCGCTGAACACCCCGTGACCAAACGTAAATGTCCAGAGGGAGGACGCCACCAGGTTCCCTTGCACATTGTATCGGGAGCCCTGAGGTGAGAACTGAAGAGGGGGGAGAGGACCTGGGGGGGCTCGGGACTTCAGGGATGAAGCCCCATCCGGCAGGGGTAGAGGAATTCTAGCAACTTCCAGCCGGCCAGCCTTAAACTCCCACTCCAGCTGGCCCAAGTCTGCATAGTAGCGCCCAAGGTAGAAGACCCGCTGGACAGCCCAGCGGGCAGGGTCCAGGGCCCTGTGGTCCAGCAGTAGCTCCAGCCCCACTGGGTGAAGGAAAATCCCAACACCTGAGATGTTATGGTAGAGGGCTATCCAGGTAGCACGGTCCCCTGAGCGCAAGCCACTGGGGGTGGCATGCAGAGGTGCCAGAGTGGAGCCATTGTAGTTGAAGACAGAAGCCAGAAAGACTGGTGCCTTGGGTAGCTCCACCTCCTTCAAATGTTTCCACATCTGGGCAAACTCCGCTCCCAGCATGGGGCGTCGGTGATAGGGCACGGGGCCCCCGTGACGCTCCACCGTCACATCCCGCAGGTAGGAGGGGTGCGGCAGCGGCCCCACCACCAGCTCACTCACGTTGGGCTGGGGTTGTCCGCCAAAGAAGACGATGGCCAGTGCCTCCCGGGCGGGCGGGGGACTCCCCCTGTCCAGGTGGGCCAGGGCAGCAGCCTTGGGGGGCAGCTGCAGCTCCACCGAGAAGACGCAGTTGTCCGAGGGGCGGGCCTGGGCTGCGTCCACCAGGCCTGGCCCCAGCTGCTGGGTCAGGAAGCTCATCACAGCCGTCAGCTCCTCTGGGCTCAGGTCTGCAAACAGCTGGCTCTGGCTGGGGGGTGTCCGGGGCTGGGCACTGGGGGATACAGAGGGGCAGCGGGGAGGCTGGCTGGAGCCACCTTGGCTGGTCAGCAAAATATAGGCCAGGGCAAAGATGGTAATGAGGGACAGTGCCAGGAACACAAGGACTACCTTGAGATTCATGGTGAACTCAGAAAGCTGAAATGTGAGTCCTACCAGCTGCTCCTTCCCCCTACTGACATCAAATCAGGGTTTATATTCAGTAGGATGGATAGGAATGGAGAAAACTCCACCCTGTGGGCTGGACAGGAAATTTCTGACTTTAATTTATATAATTCTGTTCCAATTTTCTGTTCCGTGGTTTGGCTCAAGGCACTACATCCACGTGCACAGCCTGTCCCCTGCCCCTGAACTCCTGGTGGCAGCACTGGTAACAGTTCTGATCACTATCACTTAGACTAGACTCAAGGGATTAACTGTAAGCTCTACCTTTCACTCAGAATGGGTCCGAGGCAGAATGCGGATCTCAGATGCCCAGTGAAGTGCTGTGTGCTACACGCAGGCACGGAACTATCCGTTTTCCTACCTCCTAGCGGGCACTACCCCCGATATTCCCAGGACCCAGTTCAGCAAGAAGCACTTGGCCCGCTGCCAAAGGCCAAGCCCCTGCTTTGTAATATCAGGCCTCCCACCTAGTTAGTGGGACAGAAGCAGTGAGCACCTGGGCTCAGGAGTCGGATTTGTACACCAACCGCCACCACCCCGTCCCTAGGCTGTGGGACCTCAGAGGAGTCACTTATCATGAGTTTCAGTGTCCTCACCTACAAAGAAGGGGTAAACTACCCAAGATTCATGAAAATTAAACACGGTCATGCACATAACGTGCTTAACAGAGCCCAACACAGGGGAGGCATTCAAAAACTGTTAGCTACTGGTACCAAGCTCTGAAACCAAATACAGCAAATGTTCCTCCGCTGTTCAAGATCTCAAATCTCTTTCTGCAGACAATGAGGGGATCGCTGGATACCAGAAGGCTACTTTGCAAGGTAGAAGTTAAGGAAACTTTATTTCAGCTAGAGTCCTAGACAGCCCTCCAAGTCATTGGAAAACCAAAACCAGGAGTCCCTGGTATCTCCTCAAGAAATTTAAGCCACTACTCAGTGGGGAAAATTAGTATAAGGTATAGAAAATGCCAGGGTAGGGTGTGCCTTGAGCCAGGTGATTCCCCACACGTGGAACTAGAGTGGCCTCTACTGGCAGTTCATGGGTATCACCAAGGAAGAGAGGAAGGAGCTGGGATCTTGAAAGGAGAGAGACAAGCAGCTTAGGTTCGGGAAGAGCAAACTTTCACGTTAATTCAGACTAAACACAAATGAAGGACCACCCCGGCCTCTGGGTTGGCAGAAATCTCAGTCTTCCCATTATTTTAGGGAAAAAAGCTCAATTGGTATAAAAATCCCCAACAGGGTGGCTGGCGGTGTACGTGGAGGTGGGTGTGCCCATGTGCACGCACTTGAGTACGGGTATGTCCCTAGTCACCAGAGTATCGCACCAGGATCTGCAGCTTTAGAAAGAGGTCAAAGTACCTGCATTTTTAATAATTTCTTGACATGGTAAAAGAATTTTACATTACGATCCAAGGGTGGTAGAGTGAGAAGAAAGGGCAGAATAATCCAACAAACAAAAGGGGAAACTGAGAAACACATGGTGGCAGTAGGGAAGGGTTTCAGCTGGAAGGGATCTGGAGGGTGGGTAGGGGCACTGCCCAACTAAAATGCAATTGGTTTGTTACTGAGTACTATTCATGGGAAGACAGCATCCTGACTCCTTCTCTACAGCATACTTGGAGTAAAAATGATGCATCTGGGCGGAAATGTGATTGGGGTTGAAGGCAAGGAGACAGGGGAAGAATGAAAGTCAGAAACAGATACTGAGAGTCACTGGCAGGCTGACTGCAGATACGGACTCTCCAGTAGTGGCAGGATGAAAAAGTGGGGGTTTGATGACGGCTAACAGAAAAGCTGTATCAAGTGATATCTCTGGAAGATTAGAGAGATAGGAGGCAACTCTTCTATAGTTTTGACTTGCCCAGCAGATTTTCACATACACACGATGCGCACGTGCACATGTGCACGCACACACATACACACACACACACAGGTGCTGCTTTCCTTGGAAGCACAATACTATAAATAAGAGAAATATTTTTCCCATAGGAAAGCCCAGCAGGAGCAGCAGCATCTGGCCCTCACAGCTGCAGACAGCCCCACCCCATTTACAACTGGCCTGGGAAGAGGCAACCAGGAGTCAGAGGACCATCCTTTGCAATAACGCCCGAAAGGACCCGAGTCACAGAGAAAGGGGCCTTCCCCAAATCCTCTACTTCTCATCTCTTAGCTCTCCTCCAACTTACCAGCCTCTGGGCACCAAGAGGCTATAATAGCAAAACAAAGGGCCCTGGGGGGTGAGGACTAGGACAACTATCACTTTCTGAATGATGTGTGACAGGGTTCATGGGATTGGTGGGGGGGGGGGGTGTATGGGACAACACCACAGATGAAGGGATGGGGAAATCAGGTAACAGAGTAGGAAGGCATATGCTCTGTCTGTCTGTGTATACCACACACATATGTGTATGTGAAAATCCTAGTTATAAAAACATCTCAAGGAGCTAGGGATTTGGCTGAAGGCCTAAGGTGTTTCTTGTCATGATCAGGTTCAAGGTGGGAGGTATGTGAATGGGAAACCCTAAGTCATTACCAGGGAAACTGTGGGAGAGAAGATCCAATGTCCCACACAGTGGCAAGAGACACTAACCTTATGTCAGAGGAGAGGAGCTGGTCCCCCCCGACTCCAGTTCCTAAAAAACACCTAGCACTTTCCTTCCAGTTCCCTCAGCTTCTAATCAACTAATCAAAAGAAGGAAAAAAAACACAAAGCCCAAGACATAGGAGGGAAAGGGCAGGGAGAGAAAACACACATATTCTTGTGCTGATATCCTGCACACACAAACCTGGAGTTCTCCAGAAATTAGGACAGGTCGGGTGTAGGGTATTAGGGAAGGAAATAGAAGAGTTCCTGAGGCCTGAAAAAAGAGGTAAACACGTCACAGAACTACATGAGAGTTTCATTAGACTCTAACTAAAAACAGAGAGAGGTGTGATTACTATATCCAGCCAGTTTCCCCATCACGATAGTCATGTAACAAACCAAGGCAATGTCGGTCTTGAGCCAGACTCACAGAGTCCCCTGGCCCTGGCCCTGGCCTCAGTACAGTGTCTCTGCATTGCTGCTCCGGGGCCGTTTGATCTTCTCGATATTTTTCAGGATCATGTCATGTAGAGTGACCTGGGAGAAAAGGTCAGAAAATCACACATTTATTCCACCCCCAACTTCCCAAGGAAACAAGATACCAACCACAAATCCCTAAGCAATCATACGCATAATCCCAATCTCACTCACCGGAATGCAAATTCAGGGTGGCCACCTCCCCTCTCTAATACCCACACACGGGATTCCCGGGTACTTCCCAGGACCCAAGTGTCTAGCAACAACTAACATTTACTGAGCACCTAATGTACTAACAATTATACTGGGTCTTTGATGTGTTATTTCACTCATTTTTTAAAAAATGTTTATTTTTGAGAGAGTGAGAGACATGATGTGAGCAGGGGGAGGGGCAGAGAGAGAGTGGGAGACACAGAATCCGAAGCAGGCTCCAGGCTCCGAGCTGTCAGCACAGAACTCGACGCAGGGCTCAAACCAATGAACTGCGAGATCACAACCTGAGCCAAAGTCAAGACACTTAACCGAATGAGCCACCCAGGCGCCTCTATTTCACTCACTTTTTTAAAAAAAAATTTTTTTTTTTTTCAACGTTTATTTATTTTTGGGACAGAGAGAGACAGAGCATGAACGGGGGAGGGGCAGAGAGAGAGGGAGACACAGAATCGGAAACAGGCTCCAGGCTCTGAGCCATCAGCCCAGAGCCTGACGCGGGGCTCGAACTCACGGACCGCGAGATCGTGACCTGGCTGAAGTCGGACGCCTAACCGACTGCGCCACCCAGGCGCCCCTTCTTCACTCACTTTTAAAAACCACCTTGGTGCTGTAGATACTCTAAGTTTCATCTTAGAGATGAAGAAACTGGAGTTTTAGGTTCAACAACCTGCCCAAGGCCACAGATTACAGGAAGAATTTGTTCTGAACCTAAGCCTGTCTGACTCCAATGCCCGTATCTTCATGCCTACACTGCACTCCCTGTTGTCCAAAGAGAAAGGGGGTCCCCAGCTACGTGCTCCCAAAGATTTCATGACTCTCAACACTCAGTTGATGAGAATTTATCCTACTCATTTTATCATACTCCATCCCCTGTCTTGACCCCCAGAGCACAGCAAGAAAATGATCCCCAGAACTAATAGCCAGGGTGACCGTGGGCAGTCAGATAATATGTCAGGCTACTTACATATTGATTCCTTAACTCTGATATGATGAGTCGAAGGCTGATATATTCTTTCTCATCAATCTCTGTCACGGTGCGGCGATAGTCCTCCTGAAAGGAGGGCAGAGAACAGCCTAGTTCCCGACGCCAGACTGCGCACAGCTCTTGCCCAGAAACGGTCTCCCTCTCCTTCCACTTCCACCCTCAGACCCCCAAACCCTTACTTACCACATGGGGATATTTAGCTATTTTAGAAACCAATTTGGCTCTTGTAATATAATATCTGGAAGGAGAGAGAAGAGGAGGAAGCTGCAGGAGACCCTGGACAGTGCTTGCCACGTCACCAGTCCCTGATTCCTGGGCCAGGCCCAAGCAGCCCTACCTAGAAATCTGGTCCAGATAAGATGCAGCTTCACTCTCAACAGTTCTTAGTTCTGCAACTGTCTCCTCCTAAAAAAAACCAAGTGGGTCAAGTCACTTCCAAGTCACCCAGAGAGCAGACCAAAGGGAAAGGGAAAACAGGCAAAGCAGGGGAAAGGAAAGTAAACCTCCCAAACCTTCCTCTCCAGTTTGTAATATGAGCACGTTACCTGAATGGACACCCCAAAGTTGTTCCCATCTTCTATCCTAGGAATCAGGAGCTGTACCCACATTTTGACCTGGAGGGTGAGGGGACCAGAATACATGTGATAAATAATACAGTATATAAATGAGGATCCTTGCCTTTTCTGCTGAAGCCATGAAAGTATACAATCCATGCCGCTAGGGTCACATGCCAGAAGCACAAGAACCAAGACACTTAATGTGCCAACCCCCCTATAACGTCCATGCCTCCCAATGCACATCCAACATTTTTCAGTTCAAGCCAGGCTATTTGGGTCTGGGGCTATGGGGTCAGCCCATAGGTCACAAGCCCCCGCCTCACCGTGTTGCATTTCTCAATCAGCAGCCGGATCTCAGGTTTCACTTTCTCAATAATGTCCACCAGCTGCTGGTTGCTTTTTAGCATCCCATTGGGCATCACAAACACCTTGGTTCCTGGCAGGGACACGAAAGTCAAATGCTTGGGGTAGGGAGGACATTAACACCCCCCACCTTTCTCTCTTCTTCCCAAACCCATGAGATGCTATGACCTCTGCCTTTTATCTATCACAACCCTATCTGCAAACCATGACACCACCAAGAGAATCAAAAAGAGAAAATGTACGTATTAGCAAAGGAGTATCTAAAGTATAACCAAAGTCTGAAGAATAAAGAAATTTAAATATGCTCTAAAGATTTAATGTACCAATATTACTAAGGAAGAGAAAATAACACAAAACTGGGACTTCTGTGAAAAATCTGAGATGTGTAGCCACTTCTAATCTCTCTCCCTTGGCAGTCCACACTACGTTAAACCCTCTCTGTTTATTGGGAAATTAGGTTTTGGGTGCTAAATAATGATTATGTTTGGAGAATCTGAGAATGCTAACTCTGAAAAATAAAATCTGATTCTATCTCCTGACCAGGAGACCACCAGACCCAATCCTCCTGCTCAGGTTGCTAGCCAGGGAGTGGGTAAGGTGGGGCAGGCTCTTACCTTGGAAGGCCTCTTCACACTCATCCAGCCTTCGCTTCTTGTAAGTGGGCTAAGGACACAGAGACAGGAATTAGCCTGCTCTTGACAAACCCCCATCACAAGTCACCCTTCAAGCAAGTCCAATCCCTTCTTTGGCCCCATAAGTTGTTTTATTAATTTATGCACAATTTACTAAGCACACACAAGGCTTTAAGAAAACATTCTTGCCACAAAACAACTTACACTTTTTCCTTTCAAATAACACATTAAGCAATTAGGGGAGGGGGTGGATACTATACACAACAGGGAAAATGAACCATTAAATGCAAGATGAGGATAATTAAGGGAATATGTACAAATCTTCTGGTTCCACAAAGAAGCACAATATTCAATCAACAAACATGTATTTAGCACTTAATACATGTAGCAGGTACAGTACTAAGTGTTGGGGATACAGATGATTAAGACAGTTTCTGCTTTCCAGAATTGCAAGCTCTATCGATGAGACAGTAATTCAAACAACAATACAGTGTTATCAGTGTTATTTAAAAATGTGAACGAACAACTTGACAAGCGTTAGGTGCTAAAGATGCAGGGGCAAAGACAGGGACTACAATTCTACAGCAAGAACTACTCATCCTGTAAACAACGCTCAAGACATTCGGATGGGTAAGAAAAATCTTGCTTAGAGCCAGAGGGACAGACCAGATAACTTGAGGGAACCTGTAGCTATTAGTCCTATTTGGAACTCACTCCAGGACAGTGGAGCATTAGGTTATACAGTTCATGCTATAAATAAAAATTTGGGTTGAAAAGGGGTGTACTGGAATCATCATGTCTGTAAGAGCCCTTGTTCCTAGATCCGAATCCCGCTGTCTCCTCGTACATGTTCAAAATGACCAGGAAATAGAGAACAGAGAATAGAGAACATGTTGCTTCAGAATACAAAGAAAAACACAGGACACTCACACCGTCCAGTCCATCGTGGCTATTGGTGAGAAGAATGGGGTCAGGGACTGGGAGATTCATGTCTGAGTGTATCTGAGTTAGGTCATGGATGTTTAGGATTGGTTCCTGAAAGAGAGACACCCACCCCCAAAACAACATTAGTCTTTTCAAAATGAACAAAGAAGTATTTCATTTGAAGGGCAAGAAATGAGAGTGTTTTACAGTACAAAACAAAATAGAATCAACACATGATTTGTCCCATTTGACAGAAAGACCAGTGCCAAAAAAACTGGGGAATCAGAAGAAAAGAAAGGGTCTCTCACCTTCAAAAAACTATCAAGTTCTAACAACTTCTTTGGGAAAAAATTTGCCACCAAGTCTTCTGCCTACAGATGAAGGAAAATACAGCTCAATTAATAATTGTGGGATGGTCTCTCTCTACAGATCTCTTCTTTGGAAACTCCCAACCAACACTTATGTTTCTGTTTATTGTACTCACCTCACTTGTGATCCGCTCCCTGAAAGAATCAACCTAAAATTAACAAAGAGAGCAATTCAGTAACAGCCAAGTCAGTACCTGGCCAATAGAGGTAAGGGCAGGATGGGAAAACCCAAATCCAGCTGTCTTCCCCTCACCTTGTAATTGTAATGAGAAGCTGAGAGGCCCCCAGACTGTAAATACTTTATTTTTTTGAGGATCCATTTCTCCATCTCGGGAGAGGGAAGCGGGGCTTAAGAGCAGCACCCACCTGTCTTCCCTCCCACCCTCCCTCCAGTGTCTGAAGCTGTCTGAATGTGAGAGCAAACAAAAGACAGGTAGAGAGGGGAGGTGTGAGCTCACAAACGTGCCAACCCCCATCCAGACCCAGCCTTTGATACCAGGCAGGCCTGATGCCAAGGGTAGGGGGAGAGCAGCGGTAGCATCCGGAGGGGGGGGACGTTTCTGGGCTGGGGGACTTCTAGCTGTCACTGGCCTACAGTGCTGAGTCCACCACGTGTCCGCGGAGGTCTCCCAGGGGCTCTCCACCACCAGACGCGGTTTAGAAGGCCACCCTATAATATCCTCTCCCCCGATGCCATCTCTGGGAGTGGGGGGCTGGGCTGAGCCGAGCGGAAGCTCAGAGCTGGTGTCCCCAGGGAGACAAAGACGCCATGGGGAGTGGGGAGCCGGTCAGACTGCTCGGAGATCGAAGCGAGGGGTAAGGAGGCCCAGACCGGTGCCGCTACCTTGAGCTTCACTTCCTGATCCACCTTCAGCAACGAGGCCATGGCCGGGCCGGGCCGTGTCCGCTCCACTGGAGACCGGAGGCGCTGTGGGCTCCGGGGAGGGGGTCAGAGGGACGGGAGGAATCTCGGCTGTTCTAGGGACTCGGCCGCCCTCGCTGGCTCACTCACTGCTCACTTGCACCCTCCCTCCGTGCCGTCCGCCCGCCCGCCTGCTGCCTGCTGCCTGCTCGCTCTCTCGCTCGCCCTCCCGGCTTTCGCCGCTCACGCCGGAAGTTACGTCACAGCCAATCGCCGGGACTCCGGCGAGGATGAGCACGTGCCCTGCGCAGCCGCGCTGAGGTCTAGCTCTGGACGCGGCGGGCTGGAGTCTTATCTCCCGGCTTCCTGAGCGGGTAAGGGTGAAGAAGTGGGGAGGGCGGCAGAAGGTAGTTTGCTGAAAACTGAACATTAGAGAGACTCGAGTACTGTTTGAGCCTCTGTCGGCTCGGCACTCGCCTTCACCGAAGGGACCTTCTGAACTGCAGCCGCCTCGAGGACAGGACGGACAACGCCGTCGCGCCCCAGTGACGTGGGACCGAGGAAGCCGGCGGTCCCGGCGCTGGGCTCGGGGGTTCTAGTCTGTGACTCTTGCTGCCTCCTCCCGTCGGCCCAAGCTCTAGTGTTAGGTTAGAGCCAACTGAAGACAAGTTCTGTTGTACCAGGCTTCCCCGCCTTTCTCCGCCACTTACTCTCATACACTTCCAGACCTCAGAGAACAGCTGCCTGCCTGATGGGCAAGTTGGCGCCCAGAGTTGGGCAGTGCTTGTCCAAGGCTACACAGTGTTTCCAGTAAATCCTGGACCAGAACCCAGATCTCCTGACTTCCACGACAAGCGCCGTATCCATTCTCCTAATAAAAGGCAGAGACCGTATCTCTTCACTCATCCATTCATTCGGTCTGTCTCTTAACATTGGTGCTTTCACTCAATAAAGTAGAAGACACTGCACTAGGCCGTGGGACAGCATTGTCCCGGAGCCTAGAAACAATGTTATTTATATAATTAAAATTAGATAGTAGCCACATTAAAAAGTAAAACAGGTGAAAATAGTTTTGATCAGTGCTTCAACCCAGTTAATCCAAACATTATCATTTTAACATGTCATCAATATAAAAATATGAATGAGATCTTGTACACTCTTTTCTCATGCTAAGTCTTCGAAATCCAGTACGAGTTTTATACATACTGTACATCTCAGTTCAGAGGTGCGACACTCCTGTATTGAAAAGCACATCCCTGGGACATCAAAGGTAAACAAGCCTCAAGTTCTCTGGCCTCCTGGGTCTTAATACTGGGGAAAGACATTAGAAAATAACCTGACAACATAATTGCCAAATATGGTAAATATTACGAAACAAGTGACTGACATAGAGAACACCAGGGGTCTATTTTACGTAGAATGGCCAAGGACAGCCTCTCAGATGATGTGACAAGCGAGGATCTAGAGGATGTAAAGGGTTTAACTGGGGAAGAGTGAGGGGAAGAGGCTCCGAAGGTACAAGGTACTTAGAGATGCAGCACAGGCAAATGCCCTGGGGAGGGGAAGAGGTTGTTCTGTTGAAGAAATTGAAAGACTCATTAGTGAACTGCGGGTGGGAGTGGGGTGGCAGGATTGTTAGGAAAACACTTTGGATTAAGTGCAAAGGCAGGTCGTCTGATTTACATTTTGGGGTCATTCTGGCTGTTCAGCATTATTCCTGGGCAGGCCAGGAATAATGCGGGAAGCACAAGAGAGATGGTGGGAATACGCGGTTAAATGAAGTGCCACTGACTGGGGTCTTCGGAATCAGACCTAGCTGCAGATCCCACCTCAACTCCTTACTAACTGATATTTTGGGGAAGATGACTGAAACGCTGAGTCTCAAATCCCCCATCCGTAAAATGGAATTTTGGTAACAAATAAATAATATGTAACTCTTGTGTTTGTGAATATTGGAAATTACGAATATGTAAAAGAACTAGCACAGTGTCTGAACACAAGGCAGGCAGCAGATAAACAGCAGCCACCGGTCAGATATGCTACCTGCTAGTGCTTAGCATGAAGAGGTTACTCCTTAAACTATATAATTATTATCATCCCTGCTTCCAAACTCAAAGTCCTTTTCCATTTCTTCAAGACTACATACAACATAGCCCATACTGCCGATCTTGCTTATTAACGTCTGCTAGTTTTCTCTCTTTTACCTCTGCTTTTTGTTAACACTTTGCACCTGGTAACTTTTGAACTCTGATCTGGAACCTCAGGAATCCTTTCCCAAATCAACTTCATCCTATGTTAAGTATGCCATTACCCTGCATTTCTTTCAGAATCAGTAACTTTAAGTTGAAAACTTAATATGTTTGTGCTTGTCGAAATATGACTTTGTTCTCAAATAATTGTATTTTGTCTTCAGATAGGTTGTAAGAAGACGGATACAGGGTACACATTCCTTCTTTATTTCCCTTCCTCTCCTATCCAAATGTTTTATGTAATACTCCACTCATTTTTTATTTATTTATTCAGCGACCAGTTGTCGAGGGCACCACTATATTTAACAAACTCTGTTCATTCTTGGTGCTTGTGAATCAAACGTGATCACCGATGACTGGTCTCACTTTAAATTCATGTTCACAGATCTCAAATGGGGGCACAACACTGCCTGAGAGCCTACTACATGCTCGTGACAAGTTTACTCTCCCACACTGCAAAGTCATTTCCCTAATCATTTATCACCCCTCCCTCCCCCATCTCCACTGAGTACATAATGTATGATTCCATTTACATGACGTTCAAAACAGAACTAATCTATGGTGTTTTAGAACTGAGGGTATTGTTTACCCTTGGAGTGAATAGCAACTGGAAGGGGACATGGGGGAGGGGAGTCGAGGGACGGTTACATGGGTGTGTTCATTTGTGAAAATTCATTGACTTGTACATTTAGGATTTTTGTCCTTTTCTATATGTGTTTTATACTTCACAGTTTTGTTTGTTTTAAGTACGCCAGATGGAGAAGGCAAGGAAGATGGTGGTGGGGTTGGAGGACCGTAGGCTAGTCTCGTCTTTTTTTTTTTTTTTAATGTTTATTTATTTTGAGAGAGAGAGACAGAACAGGAGGCAGAGTGAGCGGTGAGGGGAGTGGAGAGGAGGTTCAGAATTCAAACAGGCTTCAGACTCTGTTCAGCTTCAACCACGAACCTTGGCATGGCGCGGGCTTGAACTCATGAACCGTGAGATCATGACCCGAGCCGAAGACGGATGCTTAACCGACTGAGCCACCCAGGCACCCCCACATCCATCTTTGTATCCAGATTGTCCCTTTTTAAAGGACATCAGTCAAATTGGATTAGGGCCCAACCTAATGACCTGATTGACTTGATCATCAGCAAAGACCCTATTTCCAAATCAGGCCACATTCACAGGTACTAGGGGGTTAGGACTTGAACATATTTTGTGGGGACACAATTCCACCCTTAATACCTACCATTATCGATCATCTTATTTGTTTATAAGTTTATTGTCAAATTCTCTCCTCCAGAATATAAACTACTAGAACAGTTCATTAGTGTATCCTTACAGAGGTAGAAGAGTAACTAGCACATAGTAGGTCCTCAATAAATATTTATTGAATTGATGACTTAGGGTACTGTTTTTTGACAGACAGAACATAAGCGGTAGAGGGAGAGAGAATCTTAATCAGGCCCCAGGCCCAGTGCAGAGCCCAACGTGGAGCACAACTGTGAGATCATGACCTGAGCCAAAATCAAGACTGATGTTCAACCACATGAGCCACCCAGGCACCCCAATGACTTAGGGTATTTTGTCCATTATTGACAATCCCTCAAGCATTATGCATGCTGACTGTCACATATTCCCCAAGCAGCAGGGCACAGGCACTTTACTAAGTGCCAGGCATTGCTCTTTGTGTTTAATATTAGTAGTTTATTTAATCATCACATCACTCTATGTGACCTATACTATTATTCTCATTTTATAAATAAGAAAACAAGGGACAGAGCAGTTGAACAACTTGTTCAAGGTCAGAGCTGGGGAATGACAAAGATAGGTTTTGAACCCAGGCAGTCTAGACTTCTAAATCCCTAGTTGTAATCTCTATATGCTCTTCTCTTTGTTTTTTTTTAGTTTTTTAAAAAGATATTTATTATTGAGAGACAGAGCAAGACATGAGCATGGGAAGGGCGGACAGAGGAGGAGACACAGAACCGGAAGCAGGCTCCAGGCTCTGAACTGTCAGCACAGAGCCCGACGTGGGGCCAGAACCCACTAACTGGGAGATCATGACCTGAGCCGGAGTTGGACACCCAACCGACTGAGCCACCCAGGTGTCCCTATGCTCTTTGCTTTAAAAGCTCATTACATCTCTGGACCTTTCTGAGATGGTGTTGGTGGCAGCCAAGCAGGAAGAAATGTAGAACTATGAACCGGCCAAACCAGGCCAAGGTGAGAATTCTTTGGGGATGATTCCATTCACCTCCTCCAGGTTGTGTATGTGTTGGAGGGGAGGGGGTGTCATGCTGAAAGACCCAAGAGGAAAAAGGTTGTAATCTCTAATTAGTTAGCAATACCAGGAGAAGAGCAATCTAGTCCCACACACTGCATTTAATACCAGTTATAGAAAGGTCACATACACTTAAAATAATAGGAAAGTTATTTCTGGAAGTGGGAACAACTGTCTTTTTTTAAAATGGAATTTAATTTTAATATTTATTTATTTATTTATTTATTTATTTATTTATTTATTTAGTAAGTACAACCTTCTAAGCAATATAAGTCACCAAGAAAAAAAGGAAAGATTTGGTTTCATAAAACTTTAAAACTTTTCCACATCTGGAAAACACCTTAATAGACCATTCACACAAATTGATGAAAAATATTGAGAAAAATATTAAGGGCCTAGCAGATAAATGAGCAAAGGATGGAAACAGAAAATTCACAAAAGAGGAACTATTACAGCAAGCCAGTATATACAAGTAACAAATGATGCCAATTAAAATGACAGGCAAGTGCCATTTTTTAGCCCATGTTCCTCAGATATATGATACCTAATACTGGCCAACACATCGTGAAACAGGCTCTCTCATTCTGGAGGCAGAATGTAATTATGTGCAACCTTTTTTGAAAGCAATTGCTAATGTTAATCAGTAGACATGGAATAGCCATGCTCTTTTAATTCAGAAATCCCAATTGTGAGACCCTATCACAAGGCATCAGGCAGCTCTTCGTGGCAGCATGAATGTAACCACCAAAACTGGAAGCGATGGAAATTTCCAGCAAAAAAGAAACACATTGGGGTGCCTGGGTGGCTCAGTCAGTTGAGCGTCTGACTTTCGGCTCAGGTCGTGATCTCGCGGTCTGTGAGTTCGAGCCCCGCGTCGGGCTCTGTGCTGACAGCTCGGAGCCTGGAGCCTGTTTCAAATTCTGTGTCTTCCTCTCTCTCTGCCCCTCCCCCGCTCATGCTCTGTCTCTCTCTCTCTCTCTGTCAAAAATAAATAAACATTAAAATTAAAAAAAATACATTAAGGTCACTCATTGGATGTAATGCAGCCATGAGAATGACAATTATGAAAATTATGTAGCAAAATGAAAAATAATATATAATGTTAAATTTTAAGGTTTAAAAAATGTTTTTATTTATTTTTGAGAGAGAGACAGAGAGAGAGAGACAGAGTATGAGTGGGGGAGGGGCATAAAGTGAGGGAGATACAGAATCCAAAGCAGGCTCCAGGCTCTGAGCTGTCAGCACAGAGCCCGACGTGGGGCTCAAAAGTGTGAACTGCCAGATCATGACCTGAGCCAAAGCTGGACGCTTAACTGACTGAGCCACCCAGGTACCCCTAAAGTTTGTTTTTTTGTTTTTTTGAGAGAGAGAGGAACAGAGAGAGAGCAGGGGAGGGGCAGAGAGAGAGGGAGAGAGAGAATCCCATGCAGGTTCTGCGATGTCAGCACAGAGCCCAATGCAGGGCTCGAACCCATGAACCCTGAGATCATGACCTGAGCTGAAATCAAGAGTCGGACACTTAGCTGACTGAGCCACCCAGGTGCCCCTGTAATGTTAAATTTTCAAAGCAGGATACAAAAATTGCAGATAGGTTATAAGTACAAATACAACTGTGTTAAAATCCATAGGACAAACACACCTTAATGGAAAATATAAAAATAATAGCTTCTTGTATTTGTTATATTATCTTTCTATAAAGGTTTAATTTTGTTGTAAATGAATTATAGGCTTATTGTGGAAAACAAAACAAAACAAAACCCAGCAATACAAACTTACATTAAGTAGAAGAAAAAGTCTCTGTCCTATTGTTCAGTTACAGTCACAGCTTGTTGTGCATCACTTCCTGTAACATGTAACATCATATCATATACCATGTTTTTTTTGTACAAATAAAATCATACCATGTATACTGCCTATAATTTTTATTTCAATTGACAATCATCTCTTGCCTCAATTCATGGAAAACCTCTTAGCTGGTCTCCCTGCTTCCACCCTTGCCCTGCTTCAGACTATTCTCAAAGTGGCCAAATGAACCAAATAAAAAGCAAGTTTACTTTATTTTCTTTTAATGATTGCATGGTATTCGGCTGAATGAATAACACCATAATTTATTTAAACAATCCCCTATTGCTGAAAGACATTTAGCAGTGAACATTCTTGTACATATACATTTGTGCACCTGAATATCTACTAGGAAAATTCCTAGAGATTTTATAAGTCAAAGAATATGAACATTGAAAATTTTGATAGACGTTTCCAATTTGACCTCTGAAAAGATTATACTAATGTACACTCCCAGCCAATGGTATTCTATAGTTGTGCGAATGTTAACAGTGGATGTTATCAACCGGTTCAGCTTTTATCAATCTCATAAGTGAGAAATGCTGCCTCACTTTAGTTTAATTTCCATTGACTTCGTTACAAATTAAATGAAACATCTATTTCTTTATCAGTCATTTGTTTTTCTGTGAGCTGCGTTTTCATATTTTTTGCCCATTTCATTCCAGGCCCATTGGTATTTTTATGGATTGAATAGAGTTCTGTATATTGAGGAAATTCCCTTCTATCTTGAGCTGCAACCATTTTCTACATTTTTCTTTTGTAAATTTTTTTACAGTGTCATTGATGGTGCAGAAAGTTTTAATTTCTAACGAGTAAAATTCAATATTTTCCTTTTTTCGGGTTTTGATTTTCATGTCCTGCTTAGACAGACCTTCTCTACTCCAAGATTATAAAAAATATTCACCAAATGCTTTCATCGAGTGCCTTTAGTTATTGTATTTTTTTAAAAAATATTTTTAATGTTTATTTATTTTTGAGAGAGAGAGCAAGCAGGGGAGGGATAAAAAGAGGGGAACAGAAGATCCAAAGCAAGCTCTGTGCTGACAGCAGAGAGCCGGATGGGGGCGCTGGAACTCGTGAATCATGTGATCACGACCTGAGCCAAAGTCAAAGGCTTAAGGACTGAGCCACCCAGGCGTCCCAATCATTGTATTTTTGATGCTTAAATTTGTGACCAAACTTGGAGCTTCTTTGGTGTAACCAGGGAGGCAGAGATTCAACTCACTACTACGTACTATCTACTATCTTCAGGCTCTTTGGCTCCATTCATCACTTATTAAGTAGTTCATTTCCCCACTGAAATGGAATACTAGCTTTACCACCTACTAAATACTCTGTACACTTGGTCTATTTTTGAACTATATTATTTCCATTGATCGGTCTATTCCTGCACCAAGGCAAAAAGGTTTTCGTTTTATAATTTTAATATCTGAATATTTAGTATCAGAAGGGCTCGGTTTTTCCTGATTAATAACTGAAAATTTAAAATATAAAATAAAACAATAAAATTTACCTTCTCACCTTCCCCTCCAAGTGTGTCTACCACTTTCAGGGGTGTTTAAAAGAAAGCCGGGTTCTCCCAAGGAGAAACTTTTAAAACTGATACTGCAAGAAGAATTAAAGTGGTTCCGCTCGGAAGTGACAAATCTAAAGAAAAGTCACAGAATTACAAACCGGCAGTCTCCTCATTCTCAACTCCTCCTTCACCTCCCCTCGCTACCTTTGCCCACCCGCCGACGCCTGCCGCGCTTCCCAGCTTAGCCTCTAGGGGGCGCGACGGGACCCGTAGGCGAGTGGACCCGTTCTGACCTCTGGAGCGCCGGCAGGGCGGTCGTGGCGTCACGTCCGGTCCGGGCGGAAGTCCTCCCCTGGCCGACCGGGAAGTAGCTGAAGACTGGGCGATGGCAGTTCTGGAGGCCTCCCTCCGGGGCAGACCCGACGCCACGGTGCCCCCACGGTAGACCGGACCACGGTGGCGGGCACCGGGTTCCAAGGTGACGGGCGTCGGGGGCTGAGCCGGGGCCTTAGAAGGGAGCCTGGGAACCCTGACGGCCCCTGTTGCAGCCCCTCCCTGACTCTGGGCTGGTAAATTGCCTTTGCCAGCGCTGCCCCGGAAACGGGTCTGCCTGGTATCAGACCGTTCCTACAGGGAACGGCGCGGGCGAGGATTTGCCCCCTTGACTACACCAGCAAGGCAGGTGGTAGCCTCGGACCAGGGGCTCGAGGGCGCTGATTCTCCCTAACATCGCCTCCTCTCCACCGCCGCAGGGATGGAGGGGTCTAAAACGTCCAGCAGCACCATGCAGGTGAGCTTCGTGTGCCAGCGTTGCAGCCAGCCCCTGAAACTGGACACGAGCTTCAAGATCCTGGACCGTGTCACTATCCAGGAGCTCACAGGTCAGCGAGACCCCTGAAAAGAGGGTGGTCAAGATCGTGGAAAATGGACAGCTTTAGAGATGTAGGTCTTAAGGTAGCTATCTTTGTAGTCGGCCATAGACTCTCGCTGTATGAACCTAGGAAAGTCATTTCATCTCTCGGGCTCCCTATTTTCTCTTTGGGAACGTGAAGAAGTTCTGACACTGTATCCTTCTGAGAGCTTCCTATTCTAAGGAGAGGTCCTTAGTGTTCTGCTCCTGCTGTTTCAGAGTAAAGGAATGTGTGTGTATCATAATCACCATTTGTTGAGGGCTTACCATATACCAAGTGCAGTGCGTGCATTACTTCATCTGTGCAACAGCCCCTACGGGAGAGTACAATCATCATTTTACACATGAGGAATTGAGGCTCAGAGAGCTTAAGTGACTTATCAGTGGCCAACAGCTGGCAAATGGAGGAGCAGAGTCTTAAGAAGTTAGAAAAGGAACAAAAAGGCTGAATAGGTAGTTTAAATAAGCTCAAGGGTCCAGAGTCAACCTGCTTGGATTTAAATCATAACTCAATTACTAGCTGACTGACTTTTTGCAAGTTACTCTACTTTCTAAGCCCTGGTTTCTTGGTTTATCTGTAAAATGTAAAATGACCTCAGGATAGTTGTAAGGATCAAATATGATGAACATAAGTACTTAGGAATATACTGGGCAAATAGTACTCAATAAATGTTAGCTATTATCATTACTACCAATTTCTCTTTTTTGAGTAGAATTAACTCTAATACATTTTTAGCCTTTTATTATGGAAAATTTCCATCGTATGGTCAAGAGAACAGCGTAATGAACTCCCTTGTATCTGTGACCCAGCTTCAACAATTAGCCACATTCTGCCATTCTTGTGTTCTCTATATCTTCACTCACCTCCCATCCCCGCTCAATTATTTTGCTTTTTATTCTTTTTAAAAAATAAATTGGCATGTCTTTATTTTTTTATTTTTTATTTTTTTAATATGAAATTTATCGTCAAATTGGTCTCCATACAACACCCAGTGCTCATCCCAACAGGTGCCCTCCTCGATGCCCATCACCCACCTTCCCCTCCCTCCCACCCCCCATCAACCTTCAGTTCTCAGTTTTTAAGAGTCTCTTATGTTTCGGCTCCCTCCCTCTCTAACCTCTTTTTTTTTTCCTTCCCCTCCCCCATGGTCTTCTCGTAAGTTTCTCAGGATCCACATAAGAGTGAAAACATACGGTATCTGTCTTTCTCTGTATGGCTTATTTCACTTAGCATAACACTCTCCAGTTCCACCCACGTTGCTACAAAAGGCCATATTTCATTTTTTCTCATTGCCATATAGTATTCCATTGTGTATATAAACCATAATTTCTTTATCCTTTCATCAGTTGATGGACATTTAGGCTCTTTCCACAATTTGGCTATTGTTGAAACTGCTGCTATAAACATTGGGGTACAAGTGCCCCTGTGCATCAGTACTCCTGTATCCCTTGGGTAAATTCCCAGCAGGGCTATTGCTGGGTCACAGGGTAGATCTATTTTTAATTTTTTGAGGAACCTCCACACTGTTTTCCAGAGAGGCTGCACCAGTTTGCATTCCCACCAACAGTGCAGGAGGGTTCCCGTTTCTCCACATCCTCGCCAGCATCTATAGTCTCCTGATTTGTTCCTTTTTGCCACTCTGACTGGTGTGAGGTGGTATATGAATGTGGTTTTGATTTGTATTTCCCTGATGAGGAGCGACGTTGAGCGTCTTTTCATGTGAATTGGCATGTCTTTAAATGCACAAGTGTTAGCTGTGCTTTAAAACAATTTTTTTTTAATCTTTATTTTTGAGGGGGGGGGGAGTGCAGAGAGAGGAAGGTACAGAGGATCTGAAGCAAGCTTTTCACAGACAGCAGAGAGCCTGATGCGGGGCTTGAACTCATGGACCATGAGATTATGACCTGAGCCGAATTTGCATGCTCAACTGACTGAGCCACCCAGACACCCCTAAAAAAATTTTTTTAAGGTTTATTTGTTTAATCTCGACACCCCACATGGGGCTCAAACTCACAATCCTGAGATTAAATCGCATGCTCTCCTGACCAAGCCAGCCAGTCGTCTTTAGCTGTGCATTTTTGACAAAATGAATAACTCAGTATAACTCAGATCATGGTGATGTAGAAAGTCTCCTTATGTTCCCTCACTTTCCTTCCTAGTTATTCTGGAGGAAAGGGGATGTTGACATTTGTTGTGGAAAACCTCAAAGTATATAATGAGCCCTCACATACCCATCACCTCCACAATTATCAGTGCCTATTTAATCATGTTTCATCTACAGCCCCATCTATTCCCCTCCCACCCTGGAGCAAATCCCAAACATAAAAATACTGTAAATGTTTTGGTAAATATTTTTGAAAGACAAGGTGTCTTTTTGTTTTTAATTTTTTTAATGTTTGTTTATTTTTGAGAGAG